TTCTATTTCCCCCCCTTCCCCTTATGACCCAATTATTCCTTAATATGAAAATCAGGTATGCACAATTTTGCTATTGAATTAATCAATAACTATGCCTGGTACATATGACAGAAAAAAATGATGCCTCCTCACAGAGGGGTGACTCCTTGGTTTCCCACAACATTCTTCCCAAATTGCCAATACGTCCTAAACCAGTGACAGTTATTCTACCATCCTACAGAATATCTGTAACATCAAGTTAAGAAAAAAGAAGTGGTCAGACTGGGAGTTTAGCTCAGTGGTGCTGCCTGCCTCACAAGCACAAGGTCCAGAGTTCCATCCCTGGTACCAAAAATAAAAAAACTGATGGAGAAACTGAACGTCCTGGTGTTCTTCATGTTAACATAATGAGTTCAGTGCTGAGTCCTCCTCTTCCCCCTGCAGCCTGGCCTGGGCAAGTGGCTGTCACAGTGTTTGCAGTGGCTTCTCACCCTCCAGTCTATTCATCCAAACATCTCTTCTTGGACCAGCATTCTATTTCCACTTTCTGAATCTTACTGTTCCTTCAACTACTACTGAATAGCAAAATAGTATACTGGCCATTACTGAGAAAGTAGATTTCATAGAAATCTGTATAGGTTTTAAAAAGGATTATATTGATGGTAATGAGAGTATGGACAGAAATGCATAGTTCTCATGAATACAGCAGAACGTTGCACACTGAAAGAAAAAAAAAATTACCTTGAAACAAGGTCTTGCTGTGTAGTTCAGGGTGTCCTTGAACTCACTGTGTAGCCCAGGCTGGCCTCGAACTCATGGTGATTTCTGGCCTTAGCCAAGCAAGTTCTGGGATTACAGATGTGTGCCACCATGCCCAGCCTCAAAAACACTATGTTTATAAATGGTTTTCTTGCCAGGTGTGGTGGCCCATGACTGCAATCTCAGCACTTGGGAGGGTGAGATAGGAGGATCACTGTGAATTTGAGGCTGGGCCACATAGTGAGTTCAGAGCCTGCCTGAACTATAAAACTAAGACTTTGTCTCAAAAAGCAGAAAAAAAAAAACAAAAAAAAAACACCCCAAAAATGAAAGTTTTTCTTGCTTCTTTCCTTGCTAAAATTTAAACTTGGCTGCCTTAAGTTATAGTGAAAGAGCTGTCATTCAAATCAATGACCAATGTCCTTGTACGGAGCCCAGGGTGGTGGCACACAACTGTAATCCCAGCCTTCTGCAAATCTTAGGCAGGAGGATCGCAAGGTCAAGGCCAGCCTGGGCAATTTAATGAGACCTTGTCTCAAGATAAAAAATTTAAAAAGGCTGGGGATGTAGCTCAGGGCAAAGGCCCTGAATTCAATCCTTAGTACCACAAAAAACAAAATTAAAATGTATATGTATGTATTTTCTGCAAATAAGACAAGGATAAACCTCAATTAAAATACTATGTAATTTCTTACTTGCCTCTTTTGGATAAATGTATTAAACTTCAGGATGACTGAGTAATAATATGGGATTCATGTACACATCTTTTGTATGCTCTTATATATTCTGGTAGTCACTTTTCAAATGTGGTTAATTGTAACCAATTTTTATTATACTTTATGTAAGAGTTGTATGTATGAGACAGAATAATGAAATTCATCCTGTTTTTCCTGATTTCTCCTTCTTTTGTTTATCCTTCTAAGCAAAGAGGACAACAGCCTCAGTATTTGTGTGTTTTTATGAAAAGTGGAGCAAGTGGTGGGGAAGATACATCTAAACGCACTGTTTCCTTGTAGCATTCCAGGGGCAAATCTCCTTCTCCCACTGTTGACTGAACATGGCTGAAAAATTTTAAACTGCTTTTGCTTTGACTATTGTATTTTCAGTTAGCTACAAATGTTCAGTTTTGTTTGTTTTTATTTTTTAAGACAGGGTCCCACTTTGTAGTTCAGGCTGGCCTTGAACTCACAATATAGACCAGGCTGGCCTCAAACTGGCAGTGATCTTCCTGCCTCAGGCTCCTGAGTGCTGGGATTATAGGTGTGCACCACCGCACCCAGCCAGAGGTGTACTCTGACCCAGAAAGGGCTTTCATGTATTGTACAGTACTGAAACATAAGACAGAGGCCTATTAAAAAGAGAACGTTGGGGCCGGGGATTTAGCTCAGTGGTTTCCCCGCCTGCTGTGCAAGCGCAAGGACCCGCGCGTTTGATCCCCAGTACCAAAAAAGAGAGAATGTTTTAGCGCCATATACTCATTTCTTTCAATTGAAGTATTGAGGAGAAACTATAAAATCCACTTGATACTCCCAAATAATAATTTTTTTTTGGTACCTGGGATAGAACTTGGGACCTTGCACTTTCGAGGCAGGCGCAGTGCCACTGAACTAAATTCCCCGGCCCAATAATTTTTTTTTTTAAAGTAATTATCAGTAACTTCTCAGTAACTAACCATACCAGTGCCATACCAATGACTCCAAAGACTGTTACAAGCATCCAGAAATCAAGTGAAAAAGGTTCTAGGACAAAGCTTCCATTGGCATTTTTATTATATTTGCTTTTTAAATTCCTGTAAGTACCCTTACTTGTATTTTTAGAAGTCTTAAGTAAGAAATAGGAAAACTAGGGCCGAGGATTTAGCTCAGTGGTTCCCAAGGCTGCCTCGCAAGCCCAAGGTCCCAAGTTTGATCCCCGGTACCAAAAAAAAAAAAAAAAAAAGAATATAGAAATAGGAAAACTATGAAATTTTGAGACGAGTGGTTTTGGTGAAGCGAGGCATTGGCAGGACCCACCTTCACTGGCCAGCTGGCTGTCTTCCGACTGCTTACAGCAGATGATCTTCTCCACCAGCTGGTTGTAGCTGCAGTTCCCCACTGCCTTCACGATGTCATCAGTCTGGGAACAGCCAGGGAAGAGCACAAACAATAACCAAAGCGATATGCATTACTCTTCAGGATTTTATTCTAACACAATACTAAAACACAAAAGTATTACTTATAAGCGGGGATTTAGCTTAGCAGCACCGCACGTGCCTCACAAGCTTAAGGTTCTGAGTTCAATCCCAGGTACCAAAAAAAAAAGTATTAGTTATAAAAAATCAGCACTAAGGGCCCCGGATTTAGCTCAGTGGTTCTGCTGCCTGCGTCCCAAGCTCAAGGTCCTGAGTTTGATCCCCAGTACAAAAAAACCCACAAAAAACACTAAGATCAGCATCTAACAGTTTTCGATTCTCTTCACAGTGAAGATAGCTGTATTTCAATTATGCAAAAAATGATAAAATGAGAATACATGTAACTATTTAAGGTTATTATTACTATTTTTTGGTTCTCTGAGACAAGGTCTTGGTATGTAGCTCAGGCTGGCCTTGAACTTACCATGCAGCCCATCATGACCTCAAACTCATGGTGATCCTCCTGCTTCAGCCTCCCAAGTACTGGGATGACAGGCATGTGCCACCACACCTGGCATTCAAATTGTTTACCCTTTTTACTGGATTGTTGATCTTTAAAAAAATTATTTGTGGGAGTTCTTTATACCTTTTAGATATTGATCTTCTGTTATAAACAGCATCATGTACTCTATGGCTTGCTTTTAACATCCTCTTTGGAATGTCATTATTTTTTAAATTTTTGTTTTGTTTCATTTTGTTGAAAACAGAGTCTTGCTTTGTAGTGCAGACTGGCCTTGAATTCACAATATAGACCAGGCTGGCCCTGAACTCACAGTGATTCTCCTGCCTCAGCCTCCTGAGTGCTGGGATTACAGCCATGTGCCAATGGTATATCTCGAGATAAAAACAAATCTTCAATTTTAAGGTAGTCATCTTTACCAAAAATGTTACCTTTATGGTTAATGGATGTGTGTGTATTGTTTTAGAAATTCCTATTTTAAGGTTAAGAAGACAGTCTCAAGCCTTTGGATTTATATATTTTACAGTTAAACATTAGTGTATACAGAACAGAATTTTATGTAATTTTCTTTTTTTCCACCATAGCTACCTGTCTTCACAACTTTTATTCAAAGAACTGCTTTTCCTTCTTGCTCTATAGAGCCCTATTTCTGTCTATATCAGCAGAGTCTTTTTAGATTTCTATTTTCTGTCATTAGTCTAATGCTTAATTATAGTATTTAATATTATAATACTTAAAATATTTCATATCTGGAGAAGCATGTCCTCCCTACCTGTTCTGCTTCAAGAGTATATTGGTTTGGGCCGGGGATTTAGCTCAGTGGCACTGTGCCTGCCTCACAAGCGCAAGGTCCTGAGTTCCATCCCCAGTGCCTCCTGGACATGGAGGCACACTGGTAATCTTATCACTCAGGAGACTGAGGCAAGAGGATTCCAAGTTTGAGGCCAGGTTGGGCAACTCAGTGACTTAATAAGACCTTATCTCTAAACTTAAAAGCAGCTGGGAATGCAGCTCAGTGCAAAAGCCCTGGCTACACAGCAAGTTTGAAGTCAGTCTAGACTGAATATAAGACTGTTTCAAACCTCTTTCCCCCAGAAAAGAGTATTTTGGCTTTTATTCCTGGATCTTTCCATTCTCACATAAGTTACAGAAACAACCTGTCACATTCCACAGATCCCAACAAACTTGCCAGGGTTTTGTTTTGAACTGTATTGATGCTATAACTTACTTTTGGGAAAATGAAATATTTATAATTCTGTTCTTGAAAGCTAAGAACATAGCATATCTTTCCATTTATACGGGTCTCTATTTTCTGTCAAATTTATTCCTAGGAACTTATGCTACATAAATTTAAAATTTAAAATTTCATTTTGTCATTTACAAATAATTTTCAAAGAATTTCAGCTTTGTCAATTCTTTTTCTTCCCTCCCTCCCTGCTTGCGTGCTCTCTCTCTCTCTCTCTCTCTCTCCTTTCTTTCTTTCGACAGGGTCTCACTATGTAGTTTACACTGGCCTTGAACTGACTATATAGGCCAGGCTGCACTTGAACTCACAGTAATCATCCTGCCTCAGCCTCCCAAGTGCTAGAATTACAGACATGTACCATCATACCCTGCTTCAATGTTATTTATTGCATAGCTGCTTCTGATTTTAATATTTGCTGTATGGATGCATGTATGTATGTATTTATTGTTTAGGACAGGATCATCCTATGTAGTTCAGGCTGCCCTTGAATTCACTACTTAGCCAAGGCTAATCTTGAACTCATCATAATCCTCCTGCCTCAGCCTCCTGAATGCTGAGATTACAGGTGTGCACCACTATGCCTGGCTATTTAAGTTTTTTGAGACAGACTCTTGCTATGTAGTTTAGTCTGACCTTAAACTCACTATGTAGCCCAGGCTGGCCTCAGACTCACAGTGATCCTCCTACTTCAGTCTCCTGAGTGCTGAGATTATAGCGGCACCATGCCCAGCACTTGTTCTTTATTAAGATGGATATATAGTGCTGGGTATACTGGCTTATACCTGCAATCCCAGCTCTCTGGGTGGCTGACGGGGGGAAGATGGCTAATTTAAGTCTAGCCTGAGCAATCCAAATTTAGCGATAACCTGTCTGGAAAAAAAAAAATTTTTTTAAAGGGCTGGGATGTGGCTCAGTGCAAAGGCCCCAGGTTAAATCTCCAGTACTGGTGTGTGTGTGTGCGCATATAATTCATTTTTATTATTTTCCTTTAATATATGAATTTAAGGCTTAAAACTTCCTCTAAAAGCTGTCTAAGTTGTATCTCACAACTATTGACATGGATTTCATTATTCAGCTTAAAATACATCCTAAGTTTCATTATGATTTTCTTGGCCCAAGAACTTTGTAATTTTTTTTCTACTGCTTTCTAGCTTAGTTACACCACGATCAGAGACCATCCTATATTCTGTGTGTTTTAAAAACTTGTTGAAAAAAAAAAACTTGTTGAAACTTGGCTTTATAGCACAGTATTAGATCAATTTTTGTAAATGTTCTGAGGCTTGAAAAATACATATACTGTTAGTATTATGAAAAAGGAAAAGACACAAGGAAAGACACAAAATCTCACTGACTAGACTAGAGTAGGAGAATAGAATGATTAAGTGCAATGTGATACCCTGGATTTTGGGTCAAGATTTTTAAAAATTAGAGAAAAATGTGAAATTGGAAGTGAAGACTAATTTAGACAACTGATACTAAATTTCTTAGTTTTGATACTTGTACCGTGGCATGAAGGATGCTAATACCAGGGAAAAATGGGTGGAGAGTACAGGGAATTCTCTGTATTATCTCTGTAGCTTTCCTATAAATCTGAAATTATTCCAAAATAAAAAATTTTGGCCAGGGATTTAGCTCAGTGGTGCCGCCACCTGCCTCGCAAGCACAAGGTCCCGAGTTTGATCCCTGGCACCAAAATAAAATTTTTTTTAACAATTTAAAGAATGTATATCTTCTATTATAGAGAAAAGGTAATTAAAATCTTGTATTGACAATCTAATCTGTTAATTTTTCCCTTTTTAAAGGTACTGATGACTGTATAGATAATATGATAATATACATATATATGTACATATATATAGTCCAGACTGAATAACCAGGCTACCTTCTCTCCTTCTTCCCCTCCTCCCTTCCCTTCACAGACAATATGATTGTCTATATGTACGTTTGATGATTTATTTACTTAAGAGATTTTTTTTTTGGTACTGGGGATCGAACTCAGGACCTTGAGCTTATGAGGCAGGCGGCAGCACCACTGAGCTAAATCCCCAGCTTGATGATTATTTATATGTGCACCCCAGACTGACTAACCAACCTACTTTCTTCCCTCCCTCCCTTCCTCCTTCCTTTCTTTCACTCTTTTTGGGGTACTGGGGATTGAACCCAGGGCTTTCATACTAAGCTCCATTTCCAGCCTTTTAAAATTTTTTTATTTTGAGACAGGGACTTGTCAAGTTCTGAAGTTGCCCGAGTTGGCCTCCAACTTTCAATCCTCCTTCCTCAGCCTACTGAGTAGTAGGTGGGATTACAGCTGAGTTCCATTGCACCTGGTGTGCCTGTGTAGTTTTAGGTTATGTTGTTAGATGCACACAAACTGTTTTTCATTGCCAAAAACTGATCTTTATTTGTTGTTAGCAGTTCCTGTGGGTTCAAGGAATTAAGAGTCCATCGGGGTGGGCCGGGGATTTAGCTCAGTGGTGCTGCTGCCTGCCTCGAAAGCGCAAGGTCACGAGTTTGATCCCCGGTACCAAAAAACAACAAAAAAAGTCCATCGGAGTATCTACTTTCCCTGTGTGTCTTGGGATATACAAATTTAAAATAACTATCTTCTTGGGAAATGAAACATTCAATTGTCTGTAATGCTTTCTGACTTAAAGTCCATTCTTTCTAGTATTAGTATAATTACACCAGTTATCTCTGGTTTAGTAACTGTATGGCCTCTTTTTTCCTGCAATCTTTCTGTATAACTATATTCTCTACAGTCTCCTTTAATTCAGCCTCAGAATCATTGTCTTTGTTGTCATCTTTGTGTGTTGTAGGACATCAAACCCAGGACCCTGCACATACTAGTCAAGGGCTCTACTACTGAGCAGCCCAGCCCTAAATCATTCTTTTCAAATAGTATTTAGTTTCAGTTACACTTAGTATAATTACTTACATGTTTTTCTTTTTTAAATTTATTTTAACTAATACATAAAAGTTGCACATATTAATGGGGTAGCATGTAACATTCAATATGTGTATATACTGCATAATGTTTAAATCAGTTAAACATATTTATCTCCTGAGATACTTATCTTCTTTTAATGATAAAAACTTCCAAACTCTTTCCTCCCAGCTTTTTGAGATGTCCAGTCATCGTGTTACCTATCATCACCATACTGTGCAACAGTATGCCAGAGCTCTGGCTCCTTGCTGTAGTACACACTGATCAATGTGTCCCCGTCCTCCCTTCCTAGCAC